TGCCACCACACTCAGCTAATTTATGTATTTTTAGTAGAGATGGGGTTTCACTATGTTGGTCAGGTTGGTCTCGAACTCCTGACAACTCAATCCGCCCACCTCAGCCTCCCAAAGTGCTGGGATTACAGGCGTGAGCCACCACGCCCGGCCATAACCTCTTAATGTAGGCAAATATCAAGTAGGGCATATGAGATTTGGAATATTTACGTAAAGTCAGCATTTTAAGGAACACATAATTCAATAGTAGCAATTAATTACTAATATATGCACCGTATATTATAGCTACAAATGACATTACTGGGTCTATAGATCTAAAGGGTATAAATGAACATTAAGTATATAACTTCAGACATATCTGTACCTTTAGATGAGCTCATTATCTTTATTTTCCTTTCTCCTTCAATTGTTCTACAAAGTAATCATTACAAGCAACTGTCAGAGCTGCCACCATGACCAGGAATTCATTAAAATCCATTTTGTTGTCCTTATTGGCGTCCAGGTCCTGCATTATCTTATCAACTAACTGGGGATCCTTTTGGCACTAAAATGAGAAAGGAAATTTCTAATTCCCAGGCTCTGAGGTTCATGATGGTAACTGAAATTGCATCTTCCTTTTATTTACATTAAATTCCTAATTTCCATGTATAGCGTCTAAAGACACTTCTAAGAGCCTATTGACAGGTAGATGTAAACCAGCCACAAACTCTAAATGAGTCTAGTTCCCTGCCCCGGGTCCGTATAATCCTGGCTCAGACCTAGAAACCAAGAAAAGCAAACAGCAGCTGACCCAAGTGAGTGACTGATGCTAAAAAACATGTACTGGACATCACAGGTTGAGAGCCACATAGAAGAGTATGAACCTAAAGGCTGTCCTGGAATCTGCACCCCATCGGCCCTCAACTGAATATGCAGCAGAAAAGGCCTGACTCACCGAGAATTCCGTGAGCTCCTGTTGCAGGAGCAGTTTCAGTTCCCCCTTGCTGAGCTTGAATCTGTCCCCTTCCTTGGAAGAATAGCGGTAGAAGGTTCTAATTATGGTGTCCATGGCCGTCTCGAGCTGGGTGGGCATGTCGGCAGCAGAGCTGAGCACTCCAGAAGCAGGCCACCAAACTCAGGGAGAAGACACTTGTTCAAAATAAACAGATGAGGAAACACCAACACTTTCATTAAAATAGAATATTACAATCCCCTGAGTCAGCCCGCTACACAAGTGATGGTTGTTAAAAACGTAATAGTTTTTCATTAAGGAGTGTCCCACACAGGCTAGGGCAAGCTGCAAATAAGCGCTTTGCAGGTGAATTGTTTCTCCTCTCTAATCCCTATACCCCCAATAGGTAGCAGCTTCAGCATATTTTGTAAGGCAAGCAGATAACAGGTACAGATTCAAACTAAAATATAAGTGGCTCACGCCTGTAATCTCACCACTTTGGGAGGCTGAGGCGGGCGGATCACCTGAGGTCAGGAGTTCAAAACCAGCCTGACTAACATGGAGAAACCCAGTCTCTACCAAAAATACAAAATTAGCCGCTTGTGGTGGCACATGCCTGTAATCCAAGCTACCCGAGAGGCTGAGTCAGTAGAATCGCTTGAACCTGGGAGGTGGAGGTTGGTGAGTTGCGATCGCTCCATTGCACTGCAGCCTGGGCAACAAGAGCAAGACTGTCTCAAACAACAACAACAATATATATATATATATATAGAGAGAGAGAGAGAGAGAAAGAGAGATAATTTAAAAATAAATAAAAATAAGAAGGAAAATACCTAACTTCATACCTGTTCAACAGATACACAGCTCTGTCAACGGTTGTTTACCAATAAACTGTAAGCATTTATACCTGGAGGGGGAGAGGAAGTTCTTCCCAGCACACCTGCTTCCAAGATGAAAATTGCCAGTGACAAGAGATTCAAATGAAGGTGCCTCTGCTCTGTATTTAATCACCAGAATGAACAGGTGTGAGCTACTGCCCCAAGGGTCATTGAAAAAGGCTGGTGCTCATTGGGTGAATTAGGTGAGAGGGCAAAGAGAAGGCAAGAGGAAGCCTTCCCTTATCTCTCATTAGGGGAGTGTGGTAGAAATGCAGTTAGTTGCTAGGAAGTTGATGACAGGGAAGAACTCTAAAAATAGAGGAGCAAAAAAGAAACACTGTTTCCAACCTGGAGACACCTCAAGAAAGCCAATAGCAAGGACAGGGGAGTAAACTCATAGTAGATTCAATTAACCCAAAGGGCAGTTGCAAAAAAAATAAAAAAGAGGAAGTACTCAATGCACTGATGTAGAAAGGTACAAAGCTGTGCTTCCAACTGTGTAAAAAAGAAATAATATGCTGGGCGCGGTGGCTCACGCCTGTAATCCCAGCACTTTGGGAGGCCGAGGCGCGTGGATCACGAGGTCAAGAGATCAAGGCCATCCTGGTCAACATGGTGAAACCCCGTCTCTACTAAAAATACAAAACATTAGCTGGGCACGGTGGTGCGTGCCTGTAATCCCAGCTACTCAGGAGGCTGAGGCAGGAGAATTGCCTGAACCCAGGAGGCGGAAGTTGCGGTGAGCCGAGAGATCGTGCCATTGCACTACAGCCTGGGTAACAAGAGTGAAACTCCGCTTCAAAAAAAAAAAAAAGAAATAATACATGTGTGTGTGCTGGCAGTTACCCAAGGAGTCACTGAAAGGAAACAAAGCATAATACTAATACTTGTTGGGAGCTCCCAAAGTGCTGGAATTAAGGGACAAGCAGGAAAGGGCAGAACAGACTGGTTGGGAGTAAGACTTCCCAGTGTATGCTATTTTAACTGGTTTTAATTTTTTCAGTTATAGGAATGTAATACCTAATTTAAAAAAATTGAAATAAACCCCAGAGCAGCTGTGCATGCAGGAATCCACCACAGATTTCCAAGTGAGAGAGACTTAATAAAGAAAGAGCCCATGTAAAAACCAAAGCCAGATATTGGCCACTGTGCTTTTAAATGCTGTCTGTTCTCTCAGGACTGAAACTTAATTATATGGAAGGCAAGCCGGCATCTCCTTTTTATTTCCCTTCAACGATTCAGTACGTAACCTCAACCATCACATCTGCCCCTGGCCTTGCTGCCCAAGCCCTCCACTGCAACCTCCCCGCAAGGCCCCCAGGAGGTGTTCACTGTCTACCTAACACGCAGTTTTCAGATTTGAGGCCAGGCACAGTGGCTCAAGCCTGTAATCTAGCACTTTGGGATGCCGCGGCAAGCGGATGGTGAAACCCTTTCTCTACTAAAAATACAAAAATTAACCGGATGTGGTGGTGTGTGCCTGTAGTCCCAGCTACTCGGGAGGCTGAGGCAAGAGAATCGCTTGAACCCAGGAGGAAGAGGTTGCAATGAGCCGAGATCACACCACTGTACTCCATCCTGGGTGACAGAGTGAGACTCCATCTAAAAAAAAAAAAATCAAACTAGTTTTCGTTGTCAAGGTAATAATGCATATGGTAAAGAACTTTTTGAATACTTGAGAGTATGAAATAGTAAAATTCTCTCTCACCATTCCCTACCCTAGTAGTCACCCCTTTGTTAATTTTTTCTGTGTGGAGGCAGTATCATGGTGACTAAAAGCATGAACAAACTGGCTTTAACTCTCACCTCTGCCATAACTAGTTGTGTGATCCTGTGCTGGTCAGTTAGCACCCTATGCCACGGTGTCCCCGTCAGTCTAAATGGAGATAACCATAGCACCTACTGAGAATGTAAAAAACAAATTCTATACAATATTTCTTTTCTTTTCTTTTTTCTTTTTTTTTTTGAGACGGAGTTTCGCTCTTGTTACCCAGGCTGGAGTGCAATGGCGCGATCTCGGCTCACCGCAACCTCTGTCTCCTGGGTTCAGGCAATTCTCCTGCCTCAGCCTCCTGAGTAGCTGGGATTACAGGCACGCGCCACCATGCCCAGCTAATTTTTTGTATTTTTAGTAGAGAAGGGGTTTCACCATGTTGACCAGGATGGTCTCGATCTCTTGACCTCGTGATCCACCCGCCTTGGCCTCCCAAAGTGCTGGGATTACAGGCGTGAGCCACCGCACCCGGCTTCTTTATTTATTATTATTATTGAGGCAGGATCTGACTCTGGTTGCCGAGGCTGGAGTGCAGTGGCACCATCACAGCTCACGGCAGCCTCCATCTCCTGGGCTCAGATGATTCTTCCATCTCAGCCTCCCAAGTAGCTGGGACTACAGGTTCATGCCACCATGCCCAGCTAACTTTTATTTTTATTGTATTTTTACATGTAGTAGAGATGGGGTTTCGCCATATTGCCCAAGCTGGTCTTGAACTCCTGAGCTCAAGCAATCTACCTGCCTTGGCCTCCCAAAATGCTAGGATTACAGGCATGAGCCACCACACACCCAGCCTTATTTTCTTTTTTAAGACTGAGTCTTGCTCTGTCATCCATGCTGAAATGCAGTGGCACAATCATGGCTCACTGCACCTCAACCTCCTGGGCTCAAACGATCCTCCTGCTTCAGCCTCTTGAGTATCTGGGACAGCAGGCATGTGTTACCATGCCTAATTTTTTTTTTTTTTGTAGATATGGGGTCTCCCTATGTTTCCCAGACTGGTCTTAAACTCCTGACCTCAAGTGATCATTCTGCCTGGCCTCCCAAACTGCTAGGATTATAGGCTTTAGCCACCTCACATTGCTGCTGTGAAATATTTAAACGGGTTCCTTTTGAGCTAGTATGAGTGACCATGGCCTAGGGAACTGTTTCAAGAGGTCCTGAGAAAGTGTGCCCAAGGTGGCAGGTTACCGTTTAGTTTATTATTTATTTATTTTTGAGATGGAGTCTCACTCTGTCACCCAGACTGGAGTGCAGTGGTGTAATAATGGTTCACTGCAGCCTCCTGCTCATTTTTTAATGTACTTTCCCCTCTTCAGCTCTTAAATGTTGTTCCCCCTGTGGTCTCGGCTACTCCTATAATTTCAGTCTCTCTCAAGATTATATTTCTTGATCCAGATCTCTCTGCTAAGCTCCAGAACCATCCATCCAACAGCCTGCTGGACCACATTTCTACCTGAATGTCCCACAAGCATTTCAAACTCAATTTGCACTGTCCACTAAAGAAAGAAAACATCAAGCTTTTAGAAAGTTAAAACTACTTGTACTCAGAAATCTCACTGAGGACTATAGACCAAGGTCTATGGCCTGGGAGCATCCCTTCAGGGGGGTTTTGTGCGACTGCTCCAGTAAGGTCTTTAGACAGTGCTTAACACTTTCAACAAATTGCCAATCAGAACATCTTTGAATCCACTTATGATAAGCTCCAGCAAGGTAGCTCAGCCCACGGCTTCTGTACAGGCCTTAGGGGTTCACTACATACAAAGTCACAAACTTGCAGAAGTTACATTAAAGCAGAATCACATCAAGGTTTGTGTGTAAGAGTACATCTGGTTATAGATTACAGAGGCATCATCCCTAACCCTATCAGACGTTATGTTATGTATAGGAAAAGGCATGAACTAGGCTTATTTACCTATTAAGGAAGGCGATGCCTCAGCCAAGACACGGGACTGTGTTCTGTATCCTGTTTTGTCTTCAAACTGTTTTTTCTGGAGAGCTGGGTGTCTACGCAGAGTCAGGGGCTTGTGAAATTACACTGGCAAGCAGAAACCAGCAAATACGTCTTTTACATTTGCTCCTTTATCTCACAGGACTTCAGCAAAACTTACCCCTCAGTCATCTCAAACATCCAGTTCCTTGGTCACACCAGCTTCTGTCATAATTCTTTTTTTTTTTTGAAGACAGGGTCTCCCTCTGTTGCCCAGGATGGAGTGCAGCGGCAGGATCTTAGCTCGCTGCAGCGTCCACCTCCCAGGTTCAAGCAATTCTCCTGCCTCAGCCTCCTGAGTAGCTGGGATTACAAGTGTGCACCACCATGCTGGGCTACTTATTTTGTGTGTTTTTAGTACAGACGGGGTTTCATCATTTTGGCCAGGCTGGTCTTGAACTCCTGGCCTCAAGTGATCTGTCTGCCTCGGCCTCCCAAAGTGCTGGAATTACAGGCGTGAGCCACTGTACCCAGCCACAGTTCTTAAATACCAACTAAACTGGCCCACTTCTCTCCACCATTCTTCACCAGAGTCAGTGGTGACTGACTCATAAT